TGGCCAATATCTGTTGTTGCCTGAGTTGTTAATTTTAGCTACTCTGACAAGTGTGAGGTGGTATCTCATTGTGATTCTGATTTATATTTCCCTGATAATGAGTGATGTTGAGCGTCTTTTCATGTGTCTGCCATCTTGATGTCTTCTTTGGAAAAATGTTTATTCATGTCTTCTGCCCATTTCTTCACTGGATTATTTGATTTGGGGGTGTTGAGTTTGGTAAGTTCTTTATAGATTTTGGATGCTAACCCTTTATCTGATATGTCATTTGCAAATATTTTCTTCCATTCCATTGGTTGGCTTTTAGTTTGGTTGATTGTTTCCTTTTCTCTGTAGAAGTTTACTTAGTCATTTATTTATTTTAATTTTTTTAAGGTTTATTCATTTTTCAGATGCAGAGCATGAGTGGTGGAGGGGCAAGGAGAGAGAGGGAGACACAGAATCTGAAGCAGGCTCTAGACTCTGGACCATCAGCACAGAGCCTGACACAGGGCTCAAACTTCATGGGCCATGAGATCATGACCTGAGCCAAAGCTGGAAGCCCCACCGAGTGGCCACCCAGGCACCCCTGTAGAAACTTTTTAATCTTGATAAGGTCCAAATAGTTCATTTTTGCTTTTGTTTCCGTTGCTTCTAGAAACATGTTAAGTAAGAAGTTGCTCTGGCTGAGGTGCCTGACTATTTTCTTCTGTAGGATTTTAATGGCATTCTGTCTCAGATTTGGGTCTTTCATCCATTTTGAATTTATTTTTATGTATGGTATAAAAAAGTGGTTCAGGGCCTGGCCCTTCAGATAGTGCGTTTGGAGTGTGTTGTGTGCGCTCTGTTCTGTTTTGACTGCTCTGTCCCACTGGTCAGTCCTCTGCAAAGCTCATCTTTGCTTGTAGTGGTGGAGTGTTTGGACCTTCCACCAGGTGTCCTTTGACTTATTCATTGAAGTAACCCTGGAAAAAATAAAAAAGGAAAAAGTGGGAGGGCACTGATACTTTTCTGTTGTTCAATTTTACATGGAATTAATTTTCGTGAATTTTTCTATAGGCGATTTGGTTTAGAAAACTTCTCAAGCTTTACAGAACTCCCACTTCTGATGTTTTCATTTGGTGTTAAAATATATGAATTGCTGTCCTGGTTGGTTAGAAACCTGGTTGGTCAGTTTTAAGCATTCACAGTGGTTACACTGCTGTCCTTTTAATGCTTGCCATAAATCCTTTGTACTCACTTGCTACTGGAATAAGCTAAACTCTCCCAGTTTTAACTGCTGTTCTCAGATTGGCCTGCTGTACTTTTCCTGTAAACTACCTGTTGGCTATTTTGAGATTCTCTTATTTTCAGATCCATCAGGTGCCCCTTTTATACCTGTTACTTTCTGCCATGTATACACTGATACCTTGAAAGCCTTATGTATATGTTTTGGGCTTCATAGGGATACCTTGTCACATGATTTTGTTGTAAAAAAAAAAAAAAACCTAAAAGAAAACACCCATAGGTTTTTGGTTTTGTTACTGAGCTACTCTGAATATTTTTATGTAGAGATTTGAGAAGATTAAAAAGCTATGCTACCCCTGCTGGCGTTATTTTCTGGCATTTCCCTCTTTGGCTAAACTTTCATATTTATAATAATTTATCTATAGTAACATTTGAGAGAATTTATTTAAACAGTCATACCTATAAATAACAATTAAGATTTTTTAAATTATTTTTTATTCCAGTTCTTACATTTTGATTTTGTTTTCTTGTCTTATGATGCTAGCTAGAAGTTCCAGTCAGTGTCTAATATAAATGGCAATGGTGGGCATCCTTGTTTTGTTCATGCTCTTTGAAGGCAACACTTATAGCATTTAATAATTAAGAGCATTATTTATATAGGTTTTTTTATACATAGATATGCTATACCAGGTTAAGTATATAATTCCATTTTGTTTCTATTTTTCTAAGTTTTTTTTAATCATAAATGGATGTTGGATTTTGCCAAGTGTTTTTTTCTCTTTTAGTCAGTTAAATTGTGTTTATATTTTCTAATGTTAATGTCAAAATATCCTTGTATAACTGGGATAAATCCAACTTGTTCATTATATATTATCTGTTCTCTATGCTACTGGAATTTTTGTACTAAAATTATATCTGTAACATTCGCATTTACGTTCATAATGATGAGACTAATTTTCCTTTTTTGTAATGTCCTTATTAAGGTTAATTATGGTGATAGTGTCCTCATGAAATGAATTGGGAAACATTTTCCTTTCCATTTAGTTCTTATCACTTACATCTTTACGTGACTAAAGTCTTTGAAATTTATTGGATTAGAAGCTAAATTCCTGTATTTGCATTCATTCTGTTGCAGAAAATATCATGTACTTATTGGGTAATTTATAAAGTATGTATATGTAAGTTTAAATAATGAGACCTATATATTAAATAACTTCTAAAACATGTATGTATATCTTAAATAAAGATAATAAAACTGTTGCCTAGGTAATTATTTATCACCATATTTTGAAGTCCTATTCCCAGCAGTCAGACAATAAAAAGAAATAAGAGGCATCCATATTGGCAAGGAAGAAGTAAAATTATTGCCATTTGCAGATGACATGATACTCTATATAGAAAATGCAAAAGATTCCACCAAAAAGTTGCTAGAATCAGTAATACAAATTCACTAAAGTTGCAGGATACAAAATCAATGTACAGAAATCTGTTGCATCTCTATACACCAATAATGAAGCAGCAGAAAGAGAAATCAAGGAACTGATTCCATTTACAATTACACTGAAAACCAAGAGATACCTAGGAACAAACCTAACCAAAGAGGTGAAAGACCTGTACTCTTAAAGCTATAAAACATTGATGAAAGAAATTGAAGATGACACAAAGAAATGGAAAATTATTCCATGCTCCTGGGTTAGAAGAACAAATCTTGTTAAAATGTCCACACTACCCAAAGCATTCAACACATTTAGTGCAATCCCTATAAAAATACCACCAACATTCTTCACAGAGCTAGAACAAACAATCCTAGAATTTGTATGGAACCACAGAAGACACCCAAAAGTCAAAGCCACCTTAAAAAAAGAAAAGCAAAACTGGAGGCATCACAATTCTGGACTTCAAGATATGTTACAAAGCTGTAATCAAGACAGTATGGTGCTGGCACAAAAACAGACACATAGATCAATGGAACACAATAGAAAACCCACTACTGTATGGTCACTTAGTCTTCAACAAGGCAAGAATGAATATCAAGTGGGAAAAAGACAGTCTCTTCAATAGATGTTGTTGGGATAACTGTACAGCAACATGCAAAAGAATGAAACTGGATCACTTTGTCACTAACACAAAAATGAGTTCTAAATGGATTAAAAACCTAAATATGAGGCAGAAAACCATTAAACTCCCAGATAACAGAAGCAGTATCCTTTTTGACATCAGCCATAGGAACTTCTTACTAGATATGTCTCCTGAGGCAAGGGAAACAAAAGCAAACATGAACTATTGGGACTTCATCAAAATAAAAACCTTCTGCACAATGAAGGAAACAATCAACAAAACTAAAAGCAACCCATGGAATGAGAGAAGATATTTGCAAATGACATATCTAACAAAGGGTCAGTATCCGAAATATGTAAAGAACTTATACATCTCAGCACCCCAAAACCAAAGAATCCAATTAAAAAATGGGCAGAAGACATGAATAGACATTTTTCCAAAGAAGACATCCAGATGGCCAATAGACATGTGAAAAGATGCTCAACATCACTCAGCATCAGGGAAATACAAATCAAAACTACAATGAGATATTCCCTCACAACTGTTAGAATGGCTAAAATGAACAACGCAAGAAGCAACAGGTGAATAAGGGGGAGCTATCTTACTCTGTTGGTGGGAATGCAACTAGTACACCTACTCAGGAAAACAGTATTGAGGTTCCTCAAAAAGTTAAAAATCCAGCAATGGCACTACTAGGTATTTACCCAAAGAATACAAAAAATACTAATCCAAAGGGATATATGGACCCCAGTGTTTATAGCAGCATTATCAACAGTAGCCAGATTATGGAAGGAGCCCAAATGTCCGCTGACTGACGAGTGGATAAAGAAGGTGTGGTGTCTGTATATATATACAATGGAATATCACTCAAACATAAAGAAGAAAGAAATGTTGCTATTTGCAATGACATGGATGGAGCTAGAGAGTATTATGCCAAGTGAAATAAGTCAGAGAAATACAAATACTGTATGATTTCACTTGTATGCAGAATTTAAGAAACAAAAGAAATGATCATGGAAAAAAAAAGGGAGACAAACCAAGAAACAGCCTCTTAGCAATAGAGAACTAACTAATGGTTACCAAAAGGGAAGTTGGAGGGAGTGATGGGTTAAATAAGTAAATGAGGATTAAAGAGTATACTTATCGTGATGAGCACCAAGTATTGTATGGAAGTATTGAATCACTAAATTGTACACCTGAAACTAATATTACACTGTATATTAACTAACTGGAATTAAAAAAAAAACTTTAAAAAATCATCACTATCAGAAATGTGTTTTGTGTGCCATTATGAGTTTCCAACTTTTCCTCAATGCTCCTCAGGTGGCTACTGCCTATTTTTATTTTAATTCATTCCTTTTCTTTTGACTATATTCTTTTTAAATTTTTTTTACTGTTTATTATTTTTGAGTGATAGAGCATGAGTGGGGGAGGAGCAGAGAGAGAGGGAGACACAGAATCAGAAGCAGGCTCCAGGCTCTGAGCTGTCAGCACAGAGCCCGACATGAGGCTCAAACCCACAAACTGCAAGATCATGACCTGAGCCAAAGTCAGCACTTAACCAACTGAGCCACCCAGGCGCCCCTTCCTTTGACTATATTCTTAATATATTTCTGGTTTGCCTCTCTTAAAACATTTTATAAGTGTATCATACCAAATGTATTCTTCTGTGAAACATGCTATATATGTTCTTCTGGCACTTATTTTTTAAACGTATACCTTATTTCTTTCTTTAGGCTGGAAAAAATGAAAAAAGAATATAGAAGTCTGAGTACATGGATTGAAAAAGTTAGCTATTTAGAAGAAGTTCTTACCCCAAAAATGGCCCATGAAGAACATAAGGTAATTAATACATTCTCCATATATAATTTTTAATACTATTTATTTTAAAAAGGTTATAATTAAAAGCAATGATAAGATATTGCTTAGTTTTGGATATATAAAATGCTATTCATGGTTCATGTACTTTCCTATTTTCCTAATGTGACTCAGTGTTAACTAATAATTTGTAACATTTAGATTTTTTTTAACAGCTTTGTTAAGGTATAATTCACTTAATGTATACAATTCAATGGCCTTTAGTATATTCACAGAATTGTATGTCCATTGCTACAATCAATTTTCAAACATTATTACCCTCAAAATAAACCCCGTAACCAAACCTCTCACACCCCTCTAGCCCTAGACAATAACTAATCTACTTTCTGTTTTTATAGATTTGCTTATCCTAAACATTTCATTTGAGAGGAATCCATCAGTATGTAGTTCTTTCTGACTTGGTTCTTTCACTTAGCATAGTGTTTTCAGGACCCATCTCATGGTAGCATGTAGCAGTACTTTGTTTCTTCTTACTGCCAAATAATATTCCACTTTATGGATATGTACCACATTTTGTTTATCTTCATCAGTTGGTAGACATTTAGGTTGTTTGATTTTTTAGCTATCCCCAGTTATGCTGCTGTGACCATTCATGTCTAGGTTTTTATGTGAGCATATGTTTGTAATTTTCTTGGGTATATACCTAGGAGTAGAATTGTTGGATCATACAGTAATTCCTTCTTTAACTTTTTCAGGAACTGTCAGACTTTTTCGATAACAGCTGCACAATTTTACGTACAACCAGCAATATATGAAGGTTCCATATATTCTCCAACACTTGTTATTATACTTTTTTTTGTTGTTTTAATTATAGCCATCCTAGTGGGTTTGAAGTGGTAACTCTTTGGTAGTAGTTTTGATTTGCCTTTTTTTTTTTTTAATTTTTAAAATATTTTTTTATTTATTTCTAAGAGAGAGAGTGAGACAGCGTGAGCAGGGGAGGGTCAGAGAGAGAGGGAGTCACAGACTCTGAAACAGGCTCCAGGCTCTGAGCTGGCAGTCAGCACAGAGCCCGACGCGGGGCTCAAACCCACCAACCGCGAAATCATGACCTAAGCGAAAGTCGGACGCTTAACCGACTAAGCCACCTAGGCGCCCCTAGATTTGCCTTTCTTTGATAACCATTATGTGAACACTTTCATGTGTTTACTGACCATTTGTATATCTTCTTTGGATAAATGTTTATTCAAATCCTTTGTGGATTTTAAAAATTGGGTTTTTTAATTTATTTTTTAATTTTTTTAATGTTTCTTTTTGAGAGAGACAGAGCATGAGTGGGGGAGGGGCAGAGAGAGAGAGAGAGAGGGAGACACGGAATGTGAAGCAGGCTCTAGGCCCCGAACTGTCAGCACAAAGCCTAACATGGAACCATGAGTTTGCGATCGTAAGTCAGAGCTTAACTGACTGAGCCACCCAGGAGACTCTGGCTATTTTTATCTTTATTGTTCAGTTGTAAGAGTTCTTTATATATTTTGAATACTAGACCTTTGTCAGATATATAAGTAAGGTTTAATATTCAGAAATATAATCTAACTGGGGAGCCGGGGTGGCTCAGTCCGGTAAGCATCTGACTTCAGTTCAGGTCATGATCTCACTATTGATGGGTTGAAGCCCCGAGTCATGCTCTGTGCTTCCAGCTCAGAGCCTGGAGCCTGCTTCAGATTCTGTGTCTCCCTCTCTCTCTGCCCCTCCCCTGCTCGCGCTCTGCCTCTCAAAATAAATAAACGTCAAAGATAATTTTTAGAAATTTAACCTATACATTTTGACTCGTGGCAATAGAGATTCAAAGGGGTTTCAGTGAATTAGTAAAGTGTTGACTAAAATCACAGCCTTGAAATGGTAGTCATAACATACAGATATGTTACTGTTTTTCAGTGCCTCATTATAATTAGTAGTAGTAGTACTGCTTTAGGGTAAATTGATTAGCACTTCCTAATACAGAATTAATATTTTATGGAAAATTTGGGAGACTCTTCATTAAAGGAACCATGCACTTCAGGTTCTTATTAAAACATCAATATTTTATAACAGTCAGTGATCACTCTACCTTATAATTTCTCTTTCCAACTCATAGGCCATAATATTTTTTAATAAAAAATAATCTGTTTCCTGGAGGTATTCTCTTATGTCCCTTGAAGTTACAATATTATGTCATTTATCTCAGTCTTTTTCTTGCCTAAATTTGTCACTCAAATGCCCTATCAATTCTTGGATATCCTCTCTCCAGAACATTAACTCCTAGCCATGGTATACTCTTTAAAATAGTGTTGTTTGGATTGCTTTTCTCATAAACCCATATTGTTCTGTAAATTTTAAAGAAGGTATAAAAGAAATTATAAAGGCAGATTAGCCTTTTATACATTTCTCTAGTATCTTTTTTTTTTCCCTTGTTTCTAGGGAAGTGATACCAGTGAGGTACTTGAAAGCAAATTTGAAAAGGAGCCTGAAGATATTGTAATATCAGGTTAAGATTCACATTATGTATTTATTATTAAGATAATTAAAAAGAAGGTGGTTGTATCACAAAAAGAAAATTCACATTATGTATTCATTACTAAGATGATTAAAAAGAAGGTGGTTGTATCACAAAAAGAAAATTAGTAATTTGCTTTAGGTGGATTTTGTTTTTTTCTTGGAAATAAATATGCATCTCATTATAGTTTTACTGTTAGGTATTTATTTTGTAACACCTCAAAGAAAAGACTTAGACCCAATTAAGAGTTATTTTTATAAATGTTCCTTTATTGCTTATAAGGAGAAAAATATAGTTAAATCTTAACTATCATCTGTGAAAAAGGTATTTTCTTAAACATTAGCTGTAGAGGTTGTGTGTGTGTGTGTGTGTGTGTGTGTGTGTGTGAGAGAGAGAGAGAGAGAGAGAGAGAGAAGGACAGAGAGGGGGACAGGAAATTAGCATTAAATTTGAGAACTTACCACAAGTTATCAGTAAGATAATGGAAGAGATTGTTCTGGTGGTCTTTTAAAAAAATTTCTCTGCTAAAAGATTCATTTAGAAAGTAAAATAGATGCATCATACTATATCTGTAAAATATTGGTTTCTGCCAGTATAGAATAATGATTTCTTGTTGCAAGACTTGTACCACAAATTACTTCTCTACTTCCCTACTTCTGCCTCCTGGCTACCTTAGCTTTTGATATGTTCATTTCCTAACCTATGAGGATCAAGCAGCCTAGCAGAGCAATTGCGTCTTTAGCCTGCTCTTCACTTGAAATGCTCAAGTTTCAGGAGTAAGAGAATTAGAGTTTGCCTCTTCCATATCACTGTTGAAGAGTGAAGCTTAACCTTTCTCACTCACTGGTGGTTGCCAACTTTTTTCCCCTTATTTATTTTTTTTTCTTATCCAAAGAGTTTACTTCAAGTCTGGTGACTTCTTTTCTTCTGGTATCCTATATCTTCTTATAGGTTCAGCTATTGATCACTGTGTTGAGGCCTTTACCCAGATTATATAAATCAATCCTCACATCAGTCAGTTGAGAGTGCTATTATTATTTATTCATATTTTACAGGTGAGAAAGCTGAGGATCAAACAGATTAAGTAACCAGTCACAGGTCACACAGCCATTAACTAATTGGGGTTGAATTTGAACCTTGTCTGTTTGACAACTATTTGGGATGTCTGGGTGGCTCAGTTAGTTAAGCGTTGACTCTTGATTTGGGCTCAGGTCATGATCTCATGGTGTGTGATTCCATCCCTGCATTGGGCTCTACACTGACAGTGTGGAGCTTGCTTGGAATTCTCTTTCTCTCTGCCTCTCCCCTATTCTCTCTCTCTCTCTCAAAATAAGTAAATAAAAACTTAAAGTATATCAAGAGCTCAAGCATTTAACCACATTGCTGCTTACATCTTACATATACTTGTGTCATTCCTATAAAGTAAGCCATCATTATCCTATTTTACGTATGAGAAAACCAAGGCTCAGAAAAATGGGCTAAGCTGACCCACAGCTAATAGTGACCATAATAAATTTTGTTTTATACTAGACTTTAATACATTCCTTTGTATCTCAGTATTTTACTCCTTCTCTCTTCCTTTTAGGTTTTCCTTTTCTACTTGCTGCATATAGACTCTTTATACTTCTAGGAAAATTTTCTAAGTGCTTCAATAAGCCTCTTTGGATGGTCCTAATTTCTCTGGTTACGTACAACTTTATTCCGTCTCTTTTTCCAGTCCCAACCCTATCACTGACCATATGGGATTTATTTTATTTTCTCTTGACTTGCAGCAAAACATACCACTTACCTGTTTTTATGTCTTACATTGATGGATCTGAAATCTTACAACTTTATGAATATTTTCATTTTAAGTCCTCACTTTTTCATTTACCATTCCCCCATCTTCCCAGAGATTCATCAGCCTGTTTTTACTGAATAGTATTTATGTGTGAATAGCTGCTTTCATTTAAATTGCTCTCTGTTCTTGGGGCGCCTGGGTGGCTTAGTCGGTTAAGCGTCCGACTTTCACCTAGGTCATGATCTCGCGGTTCGTGGCTTCGAGCCCCGCGTCGGGCTCTGTGCTGACTGCCAGCTCAGAGCCTGGAGCCTGTTTCAGTCTGTGACTCCCTCTCTCTCTGACCCTCCCCTGCTCACGCTGTCTCTCTCTCTCTCTCTCTCTCTCTCTCCTAGAAATAAATAAAACATTAAAAAAAAATTTAAATTGCTCTCTGTTCTTGGTGAGAAAGATCATAATAGTATTTTATTAGTGTACATGCATATAAATATGTTTATTTTATAACATAATAATAAAATATATCTATTCACTTATTTACAGATGTTTCCTCTATAAAGGAAGGAGCTGAAACTGCTCCAAGTGAGGTAAGGGAACTTGGAAAAGAACTTCTAATAGTCACTATTTTATAAAGGAATGAAACATTTACAAATAAAAAAAATATTATAGATGGAAATAAAAGCACCCAAGAAGTTATTTAGGTTTTTATGGTTATTTCTGTCATGGCAATATGTGTACAATTACGTTAGTTAGTTAAGTTAAATTACATGCTTAAAAGGGAAATTACAGGATAAAATGGTAATATTTAAAAATACATATGAAGATGGGGACAACAGATGTTGATGAAGAGAAAGGGGGCAACAATTAAGAATAAATGCATAAAGTTAGTTCTGCAAGTTCATCTTAGAAATGACTGCCACAGACCTAACCACATTCATTACTTTCTCTATGGGTTTATAATTTGTATTTAAAATATAAGGAAAAAAATAGAGTTTACATAGTATTATCTGCATTTTAGCTAATTTTACATAGGTACTTATAAAGCAATGGATCGCTATGTAAGCCAACAAAGACTAACAGATTTTTCTATTCTATCTGACAAATTGGATTTAATGTCTTTCATTGTTGGGTCATTGTCTTCCAAATATCAATTGAAGAGTCAACATGTACTCTTTTCCTCAGTCCGAGGAGAGAGAGGGAAAAAAAGACAATATGAAGAATTTTTCATAGAGCTAAATTTGCTTAGCTTAACAGGCTGTCCTTTATTTGTTGATAGTTTTTTTATACAATTTTGCTATTAAAATTTCCTTTATTTTATTATAGAGTTGTGATTTTATGATATTGTTCTTTGTGCTATTTTGCTGTTAAAATTTCCTTTACTTAATGTATTGGTTTACCATAATAGTTCTTTTTTGAGATGTTGCTGATTTATAAAATCTAAGTATATGAGAACCACTGATTTATAAAGCAGTATGATCATTTTAATTGATAATATTCTGAAGTCCATGGTTTCAGGCAAGTAGAGAATTTCTTAACTCTTTTAATAAGGAATGTAACAATTGACAAACATTGATGGTAATTTGTTATAAAGAATAAGAGTATAAATTATTTTAAGTCTAGTAGTGTAAGTTTCAAATATTTTATAGGCAGTAATGAGTAATTGGTAGCTTTGCTTTATTAATATATTTTCTAGTTGCAGGATAATGATGATAAGAAAGGCCTTACTCTTCTACCAACTTTGAACCAGTCAGATGAAGATAATTCAGATGCTATTGAGGTTGCTTCTAAAAGTGATGAGTCACCAAAGCAAACAGATGAGTCACCAAAGCAAACAGATGAGTCACCAAAGCAAACAGATGAGTCACCAGAGCAAACAGATGAGCCACCAAAGCAAACTCCATTGCTTTTTATGTCTAGCCTGACAGTAATGACACCGACACCATCTTTAGATGAACACCAGTCAGAAGCTGTGCCAGAGGGAAAAATGAAAAATGTATTGTTTCCACCACATATGAAAGATAGATATCCAAGCCTTTCACAAACAGACTCATCTCCATCAGAGGTAAAGTTGAAAACTAGCTATATATATCCAAGTAAAATAAAGAAGAGGAACTTAGATTCATCTCCAGCAGAAATTAGATCGCAAAGCAACACTCTAAGCTTAGGTAGAAGGAAGAACAGAAGGTTAGTTTCCCCAGATTCAAAATCAAAAGATAGGTTTCAAAGCCAAAATCCAGATGAAGACCTTGAACTAAAGGTATCTGCCCTCGTATTATAAGCATAAGACTAGGAAAAACAAAATAATTCACTTAAAAAAACACAAATAAATTGAAAATGCATTTGGAAGTCTCCATGTGGAAGTGTGTCTATTAAACATACCCTACTTATATCCGTCAAGTGAGGAGGAAAAACTCTTGGGGGAAAAAAGAGTGATTAGAGATACCCATAGTACAAACTAGTTTCATGGGTGGGTATAAAATTCAACTGAATGTGTAACAACAATAACAAAATGTAAATTCAAAGAAAAATTAAACTCTTGGAAAGTGATTTTGGTGGGAGTTTTTAATAAAACTTCTAGAAAGTAGCATATATCCTTACTGCAAATAATTTTATAGTTTAAAATGAGAATGCTTTAAATATAAATTCACGGGCACCTGGATGGCTCAGTCGGTTAAGCGTCCGACTTTAGCTCAGGTCATGATCTCACAGCGTGTGGGTTCGAGCCCCACATTGGGCTCTGTGCTGACTGCTAGCTCTGAGCCTGGAGCTTGCTTCGGATTCTGTGTCTCCCTCTCTCTCTGACCCTACCCTGGTCATGCTGCCTCTCTGTCTGTCTCTCAGAAATAAATAAAACACTAAAAAAAAATTAAAAAGAAATAAATATAAATTCAAAGGGTTAAAGCTTTTCTCAAAATGACAGTTATTCTACTTAGATCTTTACATCTTATTTGAATCACTCTTATAGGTAGCTCATAAAGTAGTATAAAAATGTGTACTGGTCAGTGGATAAAAATCTAGATTCTAAGTAAGGTTCTGCCTCTAAACACTTTAACAAGCTTGGGCACCTAAAATCTCTAGACCTATTTGCTCATCTGTTGAATGGTAGATCATATCAAGTCATTTCTAAATTATCTTCCAAATTCCAAAAGATAATTTTATTAAATATCTCTAGTTGGGGAATTATTCTTAAATAGCTAGTTATTCTCAAATAACATTCTTGTTTTTACTGAATGTGGAAGTAATACAGTTAAAGAAAATTTAGAAAATAAAAGCATAAAAGACCAAATAGAAGTAGTTATAATCCTCCTGCCACAGTTCTGTTTAAGAGTTTTATTTCCTTTTGTCCTGGTTATGTAAAAATATATTTGTCATTTATTTTTTAAAAACTTGGATCAAATTATATATATGTGTGTGTATATAATTTTATTTGTGCCTTTTAAAACTTGACATTATAAGTGTGTTACCTGAGCTTTCCTAAAAATCTGTAAGATGCAGAATATCTTCAAATATATTTAATAATTCTTTTAAACAATTATATATTTTCTATATTGTTGGACATTAAGTTTGGAATTAATATCCTTTTGCTTAAGTATTTGAATCTGTGACCATCACTTCCTATATTCATAGAAATGGCATATTGACAAATTTGTTCTCCAGAAAGACTTTGCCATTTTATATTCTCACCAGTAGTATTAGAATATTAATGGGCACGGAGAAGGGGCACTTGTGGGGATGAGCACTGGATGTTACATGGAAACCAACTTGACAATAAACTATTTGTAATAAAAATAAAAATATTAATGGTCTTTTAAATAATGATCAGAACTTTTTCATACTTATAAACCATTTTGCTTGTCCCTGCTATAAGTAGACAGATCATGTCCTTTGTCCATTTTTTTCTGTTGAGTACTTGGTGATACTATGTAGGTTTCACAGCTCTTTCTCATTGAGGATATTAACCATTGATGTTTTCATGGCACATACTTTTTTATAGTTTCTCATTTGCCTTTTAATTTCTCTATCGACCCTGACTTCCAAAATATTCAGTTTTCATTTGATAAGTGAGTTATTTATTGCTGCATAACAAACCACTCCAAAACTCAGTGGCTTAAAATAATCATTTTATTATCTCTTAAGATTCTTGGGGCGCCTGGGTGGCTTAGTCGGTTAAGCGTCCGACTTTCACTTAGGTCATGATCTCGCGGTTCGTGGGTTCGGGCCCCGCGTCGGGCTCTGTGCTGACTGCCAGCTCAGAGCCTGGAGCCTGTTTCATTCTGTGACTCCCTCTCTCTCTCTGACCCTCCCCTGCTCACGCTGTCTCTCTCTCTCCTAGAAATAAATAAAAAAAAAAACATTAAAAAAAAAAATTAAAAAAAGATTCTGTGGATTGATTGTGCTTAGCTGGGTAGTTGTTTTGCTCCATTTAATGTTGGCTGGGCCCATAATTATCTAGGAGCTCAATTGGGCTGGAACACTCATAAGGTTCACTTATATGTCTTATACTTTGATGGGGACAGCTGTAAATCTGGGCTTAGTTGGAATGCATGGACAGTCTGGTTTATGTATCTATTCTCCATACTTCCCCTTCTGCCCCCCTCCATGTAACCTTAGGGATTATCCCTTTCCCTTTCCATGCAGCCTCTATATGTGGTCTTTATAACAGGACAGCTGAATTTCTGAGGTGGCAGCTTGCACAAAAACAGAAGCTTCAGGTCCTCTTAAGACTTAGTTTTGGAACTAGCACAGGAATATTTCTACTAAATGCTGTTAGTTAAAGCAAGTCTTAGGCTCAGTCCTGTTTCAGTATGGAAGGGGACTACATAAGGTCATGAATCTTTGAAAGTGTTGTTCACTGGGGCCATATTTTGAGATTAACCACCATAAATAAGCTATCTCTACCCCAAACTAATTCATGTGCCTCCAACATGCAAACAATACTTACTTCCCTTCTAAGATCCTTGGTCTCATGCTATTACTACTGTATCAGGCTTAGGCTAGAAGTATAAAATTTCAGCATCTAAATCATATCGAGGTGGATGAGGTTTCTTTTAAATAATGGCTCCTCTCACTCTTAAGACGTGTGAATTAAAGAAACCAATTTTCTGTCTCCTTGTATACATAGTGAATAAAGAACAGGGATATGGATAGTTACTTATATTCCAAAGGAGGAAGAAGGGGAAGCAGTTAGTAGGCCATAGTAATTTTGAAGTTCTTGCCTCTGCCATTAGGACTTGGCTTTAACTTCTTTTTCCCTGAGAAAGAGCTTATATTTGTAACTGAGTAGCTTTGCAGCCTATGACATCTCTGAAGAAAGTTGAGAGTTCAAAAACCTCTTTCCATTTAAGTTATCTGTGCTCCTGTCCCAGATGCTGTGATTCTTAAAGATTTTGTAGGGTTCCTGTATATCAAATTATTATCTTAGGCAACTGTTACACTCCTGAATATCTTTAAGACATACCACTATTTACCTTTGACTGAGAGCCAAGGTGCTGTAGTATCCTTAAGAAATTTAAAA